CTTGACTGAATTTTTATCAGTTTTTGAAATTAAATGAAATTTTCTGATTACTGCCGGAGTTCGCTGGTATTAAACTGGCATCAATAAAATTAGAAATGCATTTAATTTCCAATAACTGCTGGAAAATCGGTTCAAAATCGTTCATTTTGATTACATTGAATTTTCTTGAATGTTTCTCAATTTAGAACGAATCTTGAACACAAAGTCCAAATCTCACAAAAATTTTAAGCTTTTCAAATCTCTTATTTCATTCTTTTAATTTCCATCGATCGAGTAGAAAAAAAAACAAAAAATGGAAAATGTATGAAATAATAAAAAAATAAAATTAATAATAAAATAAAAATGAAAAACTCGTAATGTGATGCACAAAAACACAAAAAAAAAAGTATTTAGGAATTTTTCAATTAAAACAAAAAACACGCAAATTGGATTGAAAAGACTTTTTCTCGTTTTCTAAGCAATTTTTGCAGAAATTTTTAATATTAAATTTTCCAAAATGTCTTCGTTTTTATAAAGTTGTTGATTCAATCTTTTAGGAGTTTTTGCGAGGAATTTTGGAGCTTTTTGCTTCAGATTGACTGCAGTAAGGTTGAAATCATCTAAATTCACTTCGATTAAACTTGACTTAACTCAATTATGCTCCATTAGACTTGAAAGACCTGATTAGACTCAACTAGACTTGACTAGACTCGACTAGACTCGACTAGACTCGACTAGACTCGACTAGACTCGATTAGACTCAACTAGACTCGACTAAACTCAACTAGATTTGATTAGACTCGACTAGACTCGACTAGACTCGACTAGACTCGACTAGACTCGACTAGACTCGCTTAGACTCGATTAAACTCGTTTAGATTTGACTAGACTCGACTAGACTCGACTAGACTCGACTAGACTCGACTAGACTCGACTAGACTCGACTAGACTCGACTAGACTCGATTAAACTCGTTTAGATTTGACTAGACTCGACTAGATTTGATTAGACTCGACTAGACTTAACAAAACTCTACTAGATTCTACAAAAATCAATTTTGCTTTCAAATGATTGGACTACCAATGTAGCCTACGATGACAAGAATATGCAAGAAATCCAATTTCCTGTTTTCAAAAACTTCAAAAAAAATTACTCGAATCAACAACTTTTTTCCCCACTGCAATAAAAATGCATAAACAAAAAAGCAATTAAAATTCACGACTTTATTTTCTTCTGTCAAGAAAACCAATTAGTTTTCCTTAAAAATTCTCTCCACAAACGACTTATAATGATGTTTGTTAAGTTATAAAACAGCAAAACAAAATATGGTAGGAAACAAAAATATGAAATTTTTTAGAATATTTAATAAAAATGCAGCAAATGATTTCGCAAAACAGAAAAAAAGTTGTCATTTGCACTTTTAGAGTCTCTTTTTTTTCTCAACAAAAGTCCTCTCGTAGACGCCTTTTCCAAAGAAAATGAATTATTAATATTATTATGAGAATAAAATAATGTTTAAGAGAAAATTGTGCCATTTGTAAATCTCACGAGAGGCTGAGAAGAATCAAATGACAAAAAATAAATCCTTGTAAGACTTTTCACAACACACAAACACACAAAAAGCTCATGAAATTGAGTCATCTTCCTTCTATCTCCAGCTCTATTAAGGATGAATTTATCTGATGCGATAATTTTCAATTCATATCATTTTTAAAAATTGTTCAAAAAATATGTCGTGACATAAAAACATAAATATTATGAAGTATTAAAAAAATGAATTTTAAAAGCAAAATGGTTCGTTGGAAAATGGATGATTAAGGTTGTGAATTATGGATTGAATTTTAATCATTAATTGTTACTAAAACGAGCAGGAACCTGTTTTGAGATGAGACAATTGAGTGAGTCTGTTTCTGGCTACATCGTTAAGTTTATATAAGGTAAACCTTCCCACCGTTCAATTTGATATGATTTATATCAGCTTTACTATCAACACCAACCAGTATTATTTTTATTAATAGAAAATCTTAAAATTAAAATTTTAAATCCAAATCAATTCATAATTCATAACTCAATTCTTCCATTTGTCAAGGAATAACCTTCAATTTTAGATGCGAATTTTAGCTTTTTTGTTTGAATTTTTGACTCATTTCAAATAACAATTTTGTAAAGTAATTTTAATCCTTCTTCACACATACAAAACAACAAATACAAATCAATGAAAAATTTTAGCGAGTTTTTGTAGAAAATAAAAAATAAATAAATTTTTTGCTCCTTCTTTTTAAAATCAATCAAATAAAAATTATTAAAAATTACAATTTAATTCAATCAAAGTTGGGAGGTCTATGGAGGATGTTTCAGACAGAATAAAAACCTCCATCTAGTCCCCAAATTTCAATCCACGCAAGTATTAATTTTCCTCCAATCATTAAATATAGTATGAATATAATTATTTGCTCATTAGCAGCATGCAGCTGGCAAATTAAAAAAGCAAATACACCAGAAATTTATTAAAGTTATTTAATTAATAAAAGATTTATTTTTAAAGTTTAATTTTTTCCTATAAAAAATGCAACATTCTGAGTAAATAAAAGATGATGAATAGACACACAAAAAATATAAGAATTCGAATAGTAAATAGGGAAAAAAAACTCATTTTAATATAAAAGTGGCCTCCAGCGAGATGAATTAGTAGGTAACATAAAAATTAATTTGCTGAGTTTGAGGGAGATGGGGAGTGATTATTTGGAGGGGAGGAGGTTCTCGGTGATGATTTGTCAGTTCTGAATTGTTCTTGGATAAAAGAACAATAGTATTTATTTAATAACGATAATTTATTTTACACAACTTGCTTCAAAGAAATATTTTATAAGAATAACTTTGCAATTTGATCTAAAGATCATTCGATAATTCAACAATTGTTAATAATATTTTAAATAATTTATAAAGAATTTTTCTATGAAATTTAATCATTTTTCTTTTAATTTCATTAAGGGTGCCGAACTGATGAAACTATGAAAATTGATCAAAAAGTATTCGAAATGTAATTTATTATTTAGGTTTCGGAGCTGACCCTTGAATTTAAATGATTTTAATTGTGAATTTTAAGGTTTTTTTAAAAATCGATCGATAAGTCCCTAAAGTCACTCCCTAAACTCCCTCGAAAGCGAATAAAATTACTTAACTTAACCTTTCAGTGCCGAATATTTGCTTCCGAATAATAAAAAAAATGTTAAATTTAAAAAAAAATATGCGAAATAAAATGTGAAGAAAAAGAAACCTATTAAAAGTGTGTGACGACAAGAAAAAATGATAGCAGTTCCTTAAGTTCTTATCACAAATAATGAATGAAGAAAGTCAACGCATTATGATTTGCATAAATTTCTTTAAATCGCAAAAAAATGAAGTATATATAAATTTAATTACCAAAAAAACTAGTTGATGCGACATTTAAAAAAAATTTCATTAAATAGCAAAGAAATAATTTTTGAGGATGGCAGTTTTTGTAGATTTGAATGAAATTTTCTAGACATCATTACAGAATGACATAAGTCAAAGCTACAAAAACTGCATATCTTCTTGAAAACAAATCAATTTATTGATCACGATAATTAAGATTAAAGATATGGTAGCTGACATGAAAAAACAAGTTTAAATTTAAATTTAGATGAGAATTATAATACATTAAATTAAATTTAATTAAACAAAAAAAAAGATGAAAAGACTTCCGCACCCAGCGTGGAAGTTTGAAACATAAACAATGATGGAATGGTTTAGAAATTTCAAAAAGTGAGAAAATTCATTTCATTTTAAATGTGAAATTTTATTTTAATTTATCTGTAGCGATGCATTTGAGATGACAAAAAAATTATATAAAAAAAACAAAAAATAGATTGAGAATTTAATTAAATTTATTAAAAAAATACAGCAACATTGAATGAGAAAGAGGAAAAATTGTACTGGAAAAATAAAGAAAAAAACATCAAAATAGGTATTTTTAAAAATATATAAAAAAGCCTTGTTTTACTATTTTTAATTTTCCACATCGGAAGTTCACGCATTTTCTTATTTTCAGCATATTTCAGACTTAAATGAAGATTAATTACTAATAAATGAAAAATTTGCTGGATTTTATCGCGATGTGTAATTGGGAAACTAAAATTTATGCAAATGGATTTTCGGTGAGATTTAATGAACGATTTATTGTAATTTATTTCGACATTTAATATCCTCATTGAATCTTCAAAGAGATCCGGGAAATGTTTGTCTGCAGCTGTGCCAATCGGTCAATAACTATGGATATGGAATGAGCAAAAAAATTCATTTGATTCGAGGGTTGCCGAACGGTCCTTATTTTTGTGTTCAATAATCAAAAATTACCTTATTTTCCGTTAAATTTTAAAAAAATTGAATTTCTAAACGTACTCCACATAGCAAATTGACATTGTCAAAAAAATATTTTAATGGCGTACGTTCAGAAATTCAAAAATTTTAAATTTGACGGAAAATAAGGTAATTTTGATTTCTGAACACAAAAATAAGAACCATCCGCGAATTATGCAACAAATTAATGTCCTAAACTGAATCCAGAACACAAAATCATAATGATTAAAACTTAATCAAGCTTGTAATTATATTCTGAACAAAGAACTAGTGTGATTAACATGATTTTCATAAATGTTTATTTCTGAAAAATGTATGATAGTGTTATCGAGCTACAAAGGTAAGATTGCTTTTTGCCTCCCCTGAATTTAAATTTGTTTTGATTAAAAACAATGCGAAAACGCACCACGAAACAGGAGCTTTATGATATTTCAGTATAAACAAACATTCAAAGTCGGTACAACAGTTTTTGGTCTCTCTTCAGCAACACAATGCCAATGATAAGGAAGAGCATTGATATAAGTTAGATCTTACAACTTACAAAATTCCAGCAAAATCAAGCCTTCTTTAAAGCCTTGACCTTAACCCGAAGATAAAACAAACAAAATCATTTTAATTTTTCTTCTTTTTTATCGTTTTTTTTTATTCATTTTTAATTAAATTAATATCTATTATTTTATATATTTTTAAAAACTTTTTTGTTCATCATCTTTGGAATCGGTTTTTTATTTATTATAATTTTTTATTTTTTCATCTTTTGTTACTATACACAACTATAAATCTCATGTTTTTCGTTTTCTTCATTTTTGGACACATAATTTTGGAAGAAAGGAAACCTTTTTATTTGCTTCTAATTAATTGAAATAAAAATGAAAGAGATAGAGATAAGAAAAATAGAAAGAGAGAGATAGAAAGCTATAAAATAGAAAATGATGGAGTGTTGATTTAATTATCATGATTTTTCAACTTTTTTTTCTTGTTTAAACCTTAAATTTTTTTGTCCTAAAAGTGATTATCACTTTATAAACTAATTAACATCGATAAACTCTGAATTATTACATTATTTTTTCATTAATTTATTTCGCTAGTTTTCTTCTTTTTTTCATTCTTTTTCGTTATGGTTAGTAATTTTCTTGAGTCTTTAACGACTTTCTTGATGGGAATGAGGATAATGAACCGTAAGGTGAGATTTCGATGGTTGAATGCCTCTAAGTATGGATAGATATCTGAAAAGTTTTCATCAAGACTGAATCAACAAGAAAATAATAAATTCTCTGATTTATTCGAAATTCTCACACAGAAGTGATCGAATATTAGCAAAGCTTTTCCTTATTGATCTTTGATTCAGATACAGATTGATCTAGTACAGTCAGTATTAGAATTGCATTAGAGCAAATACATTCCATTAAGATTGGAATTAGAGCTATTCGATTCTCACTAACCTCTCCCGTCCCTCCTTATGATTGAAATTTAACGAATGCTTTGTGGTATTTAGGATCGTTAAATATTACAAAATGATCCATGAAACCTCCCGAATAGCACAAGTAGGTTAATTGAATAGAAACCTGGCTTTAAGCTGGCATGGTGCTAGCTTCGATTTAAATCCAGCACCATGCGAGAGTCATACTGATTTGGTGCCGTATTTCTGATCAATTAACCAACTTGTGCTATTCGTGCCAATGTTGTAGTCCAGTGTTTCTAAAAAATGTTTGGTCCACGGCACTTTTTCTGCTTAAAACGTTTCACGACACACCTGGAATTCTTTTGAGGAGCACCAGTGTGTCGCGGCACTCAGTTCGAGAACCACTGGTGTAGTCCTGTGTACCAAAAAATAATTACTTGTAAAAGAAATTGTTTTAATCACAAATTATAGCTCCATCGATTTATATCCTCATCCCTTTAATTTAACTGAAATCAATCTTTTTTTGGTGATACTTAAAAAATTTTGCAGCTTTTTCAAAACAACAGTTTGTCATGAATGAATAAAGATTTTGATTAAACGTTTTGCATTTGAAAGGAAAAAGGTGATTGCAAAATTAACCGAACAACAATAAATATGAGAAATTTTTGGAAATTTATAACAAAATTATTTCTAAAGGATTTATAGCACTTTTTATATTTTTAGGAATCGACATTCTTTTTTGTAGGTTCACTTTTTATAATGGGCAATAATTATTGAAATTTTTTAAAATTCTTTGTATAAATTTTTTTGAATATATTTTCCATGTATTTCAGATGTTTTGTATAGAATGAGCTTTAAATTAAGGCAATAATATTTTTTCGAATTTTTTTAAGGTATGCTAATTTGCTGGCTACTCTAGTATTAGTTTAAAAATATTAAAATTAATTTAACTGAACAGTCCAAAAGGTTGGTTCCTTTTATGTTATTTGGCGTTGATATTTCGAAAACTATTAATTTGATCTTTTCAAACTTAAACTTAATAAAAAGCTAGTCTATAATATGAATAAGAATTCTACCTGAAGCAGTTCATCAATACAAAACAAATGATATACATGCCTAACTGAGTATATTAATAACTTTAATTATCTTGATGAGATTTAATTTTAAAAGAAAAAGAAATGAAATATTTTTGAGAGCTTAAAGCAGAGATTGAAGTTCAGTTGTCTGTCTAAACTAGAAACATCATTTTGTAGAGATACTTAACATGAGTATTCTATTGCATATATAAGAATGTTTAAAGAAATTAAAACTCTCAAAATCTTTCATTTCCAACAAAATAATTTAAAATTCTAATTTTTTTTTCAATAACAAAATACAATTAATAGATGCTTAAATTGCAATAAAATCTTACTGGCTGTTGAAAAATAAAACAGAATTATTTTTTTCATTTTAGCGTGATTTAATTTCATAAAATTTTCATTACTTCTTTAATTAATTTAATTTGTTTAGAATTTTTTTCGTGTGTCTTATGTCATAAGGTTCTCTCACCCAAGTGACTAGTAAATTGGAAATGGCAATAACATGACATTTATGTGGATATTCATTTGAGAATTCTTAAAAAATTAAAAAGAAAAGACTGGAGTAGTAAAAAAAAATTGAAGATCGAAGTAGATTTTTAAGGCTTAAATCAATTTCTTGATTTTTTTGTGGCAAAAAGTCATTTGACATCCATTTCAAGTGTTAGAACTCAACAGGATTCTGTATCATATCTGACCAGTTGCTATAATGAGCGCAAAATTTCACATTTTTCTATGCTAAGCTTATCAGCTTCGACCCTTTGATATTAAAATTGAGTAATTGCCATATTTGGATGAAGTCAGGCGCATCTCATTCAGCTGATCAGTCCATTCTCTCTTCAAAGATCAAGATCCTTTAACTAATTTGACTTAAGAATTAATCTAATCCAAATAATTATTATTATTCGCAATCCTAAGAATGCCAATAGTAATTATTAAACTCTAAAGACTCATAAACGCCTTTCTAAATTGAAAAAAATAATAATTAAATGACATAAATCGAAAGAATGCTCGAATACATTCTCACAAGTTCATGCCATTAGCTACAACTTTCCCAACAACATTTATCATCAAATGTCTATCCTCCCAAATGTCACGTTTTTCCCATCCCACATTTATGTCACTCGGATCATTCATCATTTCTATATCTCCTTAATTTCTTCAATATAATAATGTTTTTTTGCGATGCATTATAGCAAGCATGCAAGTCTCTAAAATGGGTCCATCTATTAACATGTTTTTTTTTCGCATCCACCTTTCAAACATCTGCTTCTATGTGACTTTTTTTTACTTTAGAAATAAAATTTAACTGCTACGTTTCTTTGGTTTCGCTCGCAATACCTTGAAGGCGACTTTTCCTTGGATCGACTTTAACAGTGTTGAACAATCATCTAAACCCATATTGCTTACTTTTTCAGAATTGACATGTGTTACAATATCACTTTTTTGTATACGACCGTCGAGATCAGCCAAGCCACCGGATACCTAAAATATATTGGAGTTATTTTATGTAATAAATCATATTTTTTTGTTATTTTTTTTTGGGGTATAAAACACAGTTCATTGGATATGACATACAATATCAGTGACAAACATTCCTCGTGGATTTGAAGTGAAAAATCCAATGCCGAGATTTTTTCCAGGCTTTTTTGTTATTTCTACATCTAGTGTCTCCACTTCAGGCGGATCTGCTCGATATATCGTCATTTTCACCTTGACAATTGAAAGGAAGGAAGAATTAGTAAGTTGGTGACTTGTGGACATTTTGTCAGAATTCAAATGATCTCCTTACTCATGCCTACCCGAAATATTCATTCAAATTCTGACAAAATAATCATAAAACTATCGCATGTCCAAACTTACTTTCGATTGCACCTGTTTCACGGCTCTCTGAATTAATTCACATGTCAACTCTGGCGTGATTTTGGTAGAGTTTATTTCGATTATTTGATCGAACACTTGCAAACGTTTGTCTTTTTCGGCAATACTACCAGGTAATATGTTAACGATGACTGCTCCAGTCTACAATGATATAAAAAAAATTGTTGTGTATGGCAAGTTAATTAACAAAAGTTACGTGACTTAATAAAACATTTATGACCGCAACATCTTTTTTTTTTTGCTTGTAACTTACATTAACTAACGTATCACAACCTCCAGCAACTTGTATGCCAATTGGATTATTTTCCAATTTTATCTCAATCACTGTGTTATGGTTGGATGCAATTTCACATGTGAATGGATCGGCTGGAACTTCTTTCGCTGGCGATGGTTGTGGTTTTGGCGTTATTGGACGACTTGGTCCTTTCGTTATCTCTGGCTGTTCTATGTCTTTTTTCACTACTTCATTGTCTTTTTTATTTGGATTACATACAGTAAGCACCACGACACCTTCAGTTTTCTTAAGCATACTCGCTGCCGTCTCGTAATTACAGCCAAGGAGGGAGTCTTTGTTTACAGCTAATATCATGTCACCGATACTAAGACCAGCCTAAATATTTGAAGCACATTAAAGAAATTTGAAGAAAAATTGTAAATTTTTTACTTACTCGTTCCGCATTCGAACCTTCTTGAATATCAGACACGAAAATACCTTGCCCAACTTCCGCATGTTTTCCTTCAATAATCATAATTCCTAAGCTCTGATTACCCTACAATCACGACATGAAACATCAAATTTACTCTCAAATATATGGATATTATCGTATTACAAGACTTACCTTCTTGATTGAGACATGACGAACGTTCTTAAAGGTAGCAAAAGCATCTTCATTAGAAATTTCAACAGGAAATTGAGTAACAGGCTTAACAGCTAAGTCTTCGAGAGCTTGCCTCCTTCTGTGAAGATGTAAAGATGGAATAAATTAATAGGATTTTGTTCTCGAGAATGTAAGTTGATAGTTGAGTAGTTTGCTTAATTCTTTGCCACAGAGTAAATTACTGAATACTTGGAAAACTTTCTGAGCCTTCTAAAAGGTCAAGACTGCTTAAATATCTACAAAAAGTTTTCTCCGAAGTACGTGCAATCAAACAAACTTCATAAAATCGTTCTTATATATTTATACGTACTCATACCTAAGGACTATAAATTGAATAACTGGACCTGGTAATCCTTTTATTATGGCAGATGCATTTAAATGACATCGTCCATGCAGCACAATGCCATTAACCTAAAAAAAGGAAGCAGAAGAGAAAAAGAATTTTTTTAAATAAAAATGGAATCGACAGCATTAAAAAAAAGTTTATTTCTATTGTCATACTTCAAGAATTTCGTCGCCAATCTCTAATCCTCCAGCAGATGATGCAATTCCCTTCGGGTTTATTCCGGCTATAAAGCATGCCATTTTATTACGATCACGATGTCCAGCTAATGAGATTCCAATAGTCGTACAACTTCCTCTATCGATCGTATGACATAATACTGTTCCCAAGCTTCCATATCGTTTCTTTATTTTGTCTATTTTTTAAAAGTTGCATGTTAAGTAAATTGATTGGAAATAAAAAATAACAAATTTTTTTATGAGATATACGTGGGATATAAATTAATTGAAAATGAAATGGATTTTGCATGTTTGTTGAAATAAATATAGTAAGTTGAGGTACTATTATGATTTGTTACTGAAACGCATTGATTTATTTGTTTTTTTTTTTTTTGGAGCTGTTGTGTTTCAATTTTGACGCCTAGGGGGTTATGGGTATGAAGGAGTTGCATGAATAGAGATTGTGAATATAGAAGAAGTCTCGAGCAGAGTTTATTAACTAGCGCTGAATTGAGGCTTTGGTTTAAAGGGTATGTTGCTTATATTCTAGCTATAGTCTTTAGTTTGGCTACAGAAACAGTCCCTAGGGTCCCTAAACTGATTGCTAAACTGTTACTCTTTAATCATTCATCTTCAAAACTTTTACTTTACAGTCATGGTTTGATAAAATACTAAGCATAACAAAGTTTTGTGAAAATAGAATTGTATAAAGCAGAGCTCGAAGCTCTAGTTGACTCGAGTCAACTCGAAAAAAATAAAGTCGATTCGGTTTTGATTCGTGTCAACTCGTATCATCAATCTTTATAACAACCTCATCATATGCACCTAAGTGACATCACTGCTAGTCAAAATTTGTTATTCACAATTGCAATAAATTCAAATTCCAGCACCTCCAAAGTCACCAGACTGTATACAAATCAGGATTCATCAATTCAACGGTAACCATGAAGATTACCCCGGTTAAAAAAAAATTATAAATTTTCAATAAAAAGTTTTTCAATTGAATTTAAAATTTATTATTTCTAGCACTTTATAGCATCAAAACCATAAACACATTATGAGAAGCCACTGAAAAATTTCTCATTGAAAAGATTTGTTTAGAATTTAATAAGAAAAGTTTAGGAAAAGTTCTTGCGTAACTGAACTTTTTGTCACAGCTAAGCAGAACTTTAGAAACTAAAATTACAATTTATTGGTCTCAAAACTTTATTGTATGTTGTTGATTATGCTGTTGATTACAACTATGTGTGAAATTTCAACTTTGTGTGGGAGTTTTTGATTGAAAGTTTTCATTTTCATCTTAATTCTTAGGGTTATTATTCTATAGATGCTATGGTAATTTGAGAAGTTGAATGACTGTCTTATGGATCTGATTTTATAGATTGAGAAAAATCTGTAGGTTGGTCGAAGAACTAATGAAATAGCTTTATAAGAAATGACTCGAGTATAGTTGCTAGCTTTTAGTTAAAATCATCTCAAATTTTGAGATTTGAACTCTAAATTTTGGCTCCGCCAGACATCAGACATTATCAACACCACCCTACACAGCTACAAATCCAGCGGAAGGTAGATAAATCGAATTAATAAACTTCTGAATGAATGCGTCTCTCACAATATTTTAACCCATTTATTTTTTTTTGTTGATTGCTTCCATTACCACGTAGATGGAACAATAGGATTAAATCATCAACTTTATATGAAATGAAATGAAAATTTTTGTATCATGTAATTTTTTTTTGTTTTTTAACCACGAGCAGCACACAAAAAAATTGAAATGAAAGCACGTTGTGGTAGATAAAGTACTTCATACAACAAAAAAAAATGAGAACAGGTAATAATGTAGAAGAAAAGAAGAAGGAGCGATCCTTTCAAATGCCTTGCAGCGAGTCTATTTTTACCTTCAATTTCTTCCTCTTCCGAGATCGTTTCCATTATTATAATATCTATTTTGATAGAATATACACGTCTGACTTTTACGAAGCTTTATTGTTGAATACGTTTTATTCTTTCCACTTCTGCACCTTCCTTCTTTTATCGTGACAAATTAATTTTCACTTTTTTCTTTGCTTTATCAACTGAATTTTGATTTTTTCATTTCACGAATTTTTTTTGTGTTTTTTCTTTTGTTTTCTTTAATAAATTTATTAATTTATGATATCGATGATAAATCACAGTTGGAATTTTCCTTGAATGCTTTATGTGTCTATTTTTTTATATTTCTACACTTTTTCTAGCTTCCGAACATATCTAAGCAAATTTAGGAGATCATTAATTATATTTGCACGAGAAATATTTCTCCTATTTTTTACTCTTTCTCTCTCTCTTCCTTCCTTCCATTCCCGAGGAGCATATCAATATTTATGAATGAGTTAAGGTTGTTAAGGTCTCAGACATATTTTATGAATTTCATTTGTATGACAAAAAAAAAGAGTTAAATAACAGATTGCATATAATTCATAAAATCGTAAGCACGCATGCTGCTCATTTGTTATTTTATTCATTTTTTTGTGTGTTTCTTGATATCTGACTAGGGACCATTCACTTATGACGTCCAATAAAACTGTCACAGATCTCAATACCCCCCCTTAGTGACGTCCAATCCAAGACAAAAAAGATAATTTCCTCATTAAAAAATTGGATGTCACAAATTTCTTGACCCCCTGTCACAATATGTCACAATTTATTTGGCCCCCTTCCCCCCTAAATGTGGGACGTCATAAGTGAACGACCCCTATCTATGTTTAGAAAGATCAATAAACACAATTGTGAGTTTTCAGACGTGAAATAAAAAGGAACAATTTATTTGTGAAACGATCTATAAGGGATTGAAGGGTATTTATTTATACATGATTACCCCAACCCCTTCTCCCTGGCTAAGCCCGTATACAAAGACTAACCATCTGCTTGGTTTTTCAGGGGACAGTCCTTTATTTTTTTTTATCATTTTTCAAAAATTAAATTGTTTTTTTTTTGTTCCAATTTGCCCAGAAAACGAATAAAATTGGTGGATAAGTTAAATGTCCTCTATTTTACTTTCAGGTCCTATATTTTTTCAAAAAACATCTGGTCACACTCCCTATACAGTACTGAAAGACATTCATACACGATTGAGTCAGTTCTATTTTTATCAAATTTTGGAACATTAAATCTTGAGTTTATAGAAATTTTGGTTCACTTCCAACCCTCATGAAAAGGCTGTCCAACTTCGCACTTTTAAGCGGAACAGTTTTACCTTTTTGAGCAACGTCCCACCTTAAATTCCTAATGTCCCACTTTTATTAACTTACTAGGCTATTCGGGGGCTTCACAAAACTTCAGGTTGCTTCACAAATCCCCTCAAACTCGGACTCACCTTACTCCACATCTGAAAACCCACCCTCATCCCCCAACCTGACACCCACCTTGTCAACACTCTCCTAATTATTGGCTTTTCAAGACTTTACAATTGGCTTCATATGGCTTCCGTTCTAGCGTCAGGGAGGAGATTGGGTGTTTTTATTATAAATTTTTCTTGGAAATTGCATTAAAATTTGGGCTGTCCCGCTTTTTTAGAGCCAAAATTGGGACATGTCTCACTTTTGGACCGAAAATTGGTCCAAAATCGAAGGCTGCCTACCCATAAATTCATTTCAAGAGCTGGAAAATGCTGCAGCTTAAGCAAGCTCTTAAAAACAAAGAACTGACAAAGAGCTTTAAACTTGTACAAAAATTCATGAATTTAAAAATTAATGAAATATTTTACAGTTCACCTGAGAAGCTCTCTGTCTTCAAATAATAGTGTAATTTTATGTAGAAAAGCAAATTTTGACTATCTCATGCATGAACATATGTAGGGTTACCATCTAGTTTTCATGAAAATACAGGACATTTGGTAAATTTTTTCAAAAAAAAACAGGGCATAGAGTAAAATTCGAAAATTAACGGAAATTTTCATGAAAAAAATACAGGACCAGGAACAAAATTTAAAAATTTATACAGGACAGGGTTTTGAAATACAGGACTGTCCGTTGTAAAACTACGCAGATGGTCACCCTAACATATGTAAATTTTCAAATTCCTTGAGAAATAACATCCCTGCTATAGACGTCGAAATTAACATTTGTATTAAAATAATACATCCAAAATGATAGAATCCAATCTTATAAACATTAAAGTTCAAGGAATTTGATGTTTTTATAGTCATTATTAATCAAGGCATATCAATTTTCAAGCAGAGATTGGACAAGCATATCAAATATTGCAAAATGTGATTCTATGTTTATTTCCAAGACAGCTTCTGTTAATCTTGCAAGTCACAATATCATGTCAGTTGCTATGACGTTTAAAGACTTCTTTTATCCTCGTCTTGTAAAAAAAAAGCAGTAAAATGTTCAGGTACTAAAAATACTTTTTTATAAAACGTCTTATCCCAAACAATAACTTTTTTTTGTGCTTAGAAACATTTTATTTTCGGACAATGACGTAAAAGTATCCAATTAGAAAAAAAGCAGCCTTCATTGTGAATTTTTCAGCTATCATATGCGGCTCGGAACCCTTTTTTCTTCACTTTCTAGTCACAAATGCTCATAATGGCAGGAGACGCATGTTGTGAATGTTTTTATAAAATTGAAAATATTTTTAGATATAAAGTGCTTATTACTGCTGCTGCTTATGCATTACTCTGAATATTATTATTATTCATCTCGTCGAAACATTTGAGACTTGATCTTTTCTTTACAACAAGCTTTTAGCTATTCAAATAAATATTGCATGATTTTTTTGCTTCCTTCCTTCAATCTCTTCCTTACTTCTTTTTTTACTCAGTTTTCTGTCGATTATGATCGTAAAATTTTTATTCTTTTTCAATTTTTTTCCTCATTCTTCTCATTTCATTTTTATTACCAATACTGCATATTCATGTTCAATCTATAAGATGAGATATGGGCAATGGGATTTAAATACGATAAAATTGAGAGATGAGTAATTGACACAGTCACAAAGCGTGAAATGTTTATTGAAGTTCACGTGGTTGGAAGAATTGAAGGAGATGGAAATCGACATTTACGATATATTTGTTGAAAACAGAAGCGGAAGGGAGGATGACAGGTATTGACATGATTCAGCAGAACTCGTTAAAATCGCGCGAGTTTGATATGTGCTGTTGAATGTGTATGAAGCTGATTTGAAGGTTGTTACTTTAAGTGCTTTGAAGTATTGGCAATAAAGTTGTATCTTTTATGTTTTAAAGAAGTTTCAGGAAGAATAGTAAGGAGACAAAGAGTTTTGGAATCAACATTAAATGACCTTATGATCCAGCGAGTCCTGAGCTTCAAACAAACTTAATTTACCTCAAAATGAATAATTTCTTTCTGAATAATTGATTCCATCTAGAATCAATATACTCAAATATTCATAAATGACCACAGCAACATCCACCTAAATTCATAACTTCCTCTCAAACCTCCATTCACAAAAATACAGCTGATTTGTTGCTGATGACCAAACTTCCTACAGAGTTCCATCGTAAAGCTTCATTAGCAAGTACATACTGTATTTTCTTGTTTCCTTCTAGTTCCTTAGATAAATGGAACTTTATTTTTTTTCCTGCGCTAAACTTTGCTAAAGTTTGGTTCCCATTCCTTTTAAAAATTAAAAATTAGACCGTAACAGAGCCAATAACAGTAACAATTATAATAAATGAACATTTTATCGCTACAATATACATAATGAATATGTCTGCCCATTAGATACAAAATTTGCTAGATTAATCCAGATTTGTTGGTTTAATATCGTCAGCATTACAACAATCATAATTATGGTGATCCCAAAATAACATTTATTGGAGAAATTTGTATTATTTACTGGCATGGACCTTGTATAGAACAGATGGTTTATGGTATTGACTAGATAAGAATGTGGCGATGAAGACAATGGAGGATTAAAGTTTGGAGATGGGAAATTTGTAAGTTATAGATTAGAACTTTAGTTTTTGTACCATATGATGGTAAAGCTGCATTGTAAGTTGAACCAAGCTGGTGGACCATTTTGGACAATCTTAAAGCTGTTTATCGCTTGGTCATTCATATCAGGATGACAAACGTGAATGACTGTATTAGAAAAATCAAAGTTAATATAGAAGCCATTGACATTCAAGTTCCAATTGAGTTAATTTGGACAAAAACAAACGAGTAATCTTCGTGTTAAAATTTCAAAATTCAACAAATTAATTAAATGCACGGACGCAGATCACTCATCAAACAAATGTCAGGCAGAACAGTTTTAACATATCACGGAATCACACTTAGTGAAGCTGACATCGAGATTTTGCGTGAAAATTACTGGCTGAACGATCAAATAATTGCATTTTATTTTCAATACCTCGAATCGCATACTTATCGACGATTTGCACGTGAATTTCTATTCGTATCGCCACAAGTTACGCAACTTCTAAAAATGATTGAGAGACGAGATGAAGAAGCAAAATGTTTACTGGATCCACTTCATCCACACACAAAACAATTTTTATTCTTTCCTGTGAATGATAATGAACATGAGCGAGCCGGTGGAACTCATTGGAATCTTCTCGTTTATTCAAGACCTGAAAATACATTTTTCTCATTTGATTCGAATCGCAATTATAATGAATTTGCAACATCAAAAATTGTTGATGTTCTACGCGTTACTTTAAATTGTCCAACGGCATCTTTTATCTATTGTCCATCAGCACAGCAGAGGAACATGTACGACTGTGGCATTTATGTAATTTGCAATGTCGAAAATATAATCAAGCATATTATAAGTGATGGAACGTTGAGGCATGTCAGTCAATTGAGTTATGAGTGTATTGTCGAGAAGAGAAGTGAAATTTTAAGGATGATTGAGGCTTTGGGAGGAACAATTTAAGTTAAATTGAATGTAAAAATTCTTTAGTAAATAAAATAAATTTTATGAACCAAAAAAGAAAATAAAGTTTTAAGAGCTTCACTTGTGTGTTGATGTAAGTTGGTTGGAAATGAGGTGATAATTAATCAAATAAACTGGCTGGAAATTTAATTAAGTTGTCACTTATAAATTCACACATTTTTGTTTCTCAATGAGATATTTTTTTTTGTTGTTGCTGCCGCAGTGTTATTGCCGAGAAATGACAAGTGGTTGTAATTATTTTTGTAAAGTGGTACAACTGCAGTCACTCCGCATTTCATTTTGTTTAATAAATTGCAGAAATTAAGAGAGAATTTAAATTCTACGTTCATATTTTATTGCTGTTTTCTGGATGTAAAGTTGTTTAAAATCATTTATTGAGCAGAGTTGCTTATTGAGGAGAATATGTCAATTTTGTTACTGAACTAGGTATCTAGATAAGATCATGGACTTTTACAAAGAATGTTTGTTCCCTAAATCAATTCCGTCCAAAACTTTATCTACATGAATTCTTAAAATATTAACGTGTAATTAGGAACTTGCGAAGCCCTCAAAATTCCATTGGAAACGAGGTTTTAATGAGTTTGGGCTAAGATGTGTCCAATCTATCAATGACAGGTAAAGATTCCCCACTAAATCAGAAGCTTGAGTTAAGTCATAGATGTGAGACAGACTCTGCATTAATAGTTATAAATAGTACTTATATACTCATTGTTCATCCCACGAATATTGTATATTCAAGCCAAAATCATCACAAATCTGTGTCTAACTGCATCTGGCATAAACATCTGGATTTGTAACGGGGCCGTTCACTTATTACGTTACGCAAAAAATGACTTTTTTCACACACCCCCCTCCCCCCTTGTTACAATATGTTACAACTTACAACCCCCCCCCCCCCCCCCCCTGAACGTTCATAATTTATTTTATTTTGATAATTTTTCATAAATCAAATTTTTTAAAAGACAGACGACAGTTAGAACGTTACGTACTTCTTGACACCCCCCCCCCCCCCATATGTTACATTTTATTACAATTTTTCAATCCCCCACCCTCCCCCCTAAAATGCGAACGTAATAAGTGAACGGCCCCAACACAGATTTTCTCTTTTCATTACAATTAAAAAGCTAATGAAAGTTTTTAAGCATCAAAACAACAAACGTTCATGCCTAAAAGGTTTGCAAATGCTAGTAAAATATTCGTAGCCACTTGAGTTAAAAATATTAGAAAACCCAGCAGATGTTTTGTATATATTCCTATTGAATACAGTAACTCAGTGGTGTGCAACCTTTTTTGAGCCATGTCACTTTTGATAAGCAATTACCAAAACCGAACACAACATACCAAATTCCAGATTTTTCAAGGCTAGTGTACCGCGGCACACAGATTGACCATCACTGCAGTAACTATATCAAGCCCCCAAAGGATATTTTGTTATATAATTGTCAATAATATAAAAGAAAGTTCTCAATATATTCAAAGGAAAATATGGAAATCCAAAACAAAATGGGCTAAAAATAGAAAGCATTACTATTCAGAAATAAAAATCCTCCGGACTTATATTGGCTATGATGTATACAAGCTCAATCCTAGCAACGAAAAACAGAAATGAAAAAAAAATGGGAAGGAAAAGTTAAATAAAATGTGAGGGACACGATAGCATTCGTAGTATGAATAAAAAATGAATGAAAAATCTTTTTCAATGTACTAGAAAACTCAATGAACCTTCATTTTCCCCATAAATTTAAGGCAATAAAAATCCCATTCATTTCTTCAGCTTGTCCAGCTCTTTTTTTGTATGCTTACAAAAATATGAATGTGTAAATATGAAAAATTTATATCCCATTCAACATGATTTCGTGAAGATTTATTTTAGTTTAAATAAAGATCGGTAAATGCTTACTTTTAGCTCTGCTGACGACTTTTGTGTATTTACATTCATATTTTTTATTTCAATTAGCTACTTCATAAATATCACATAAACATCTCTCGTAAAGACGTCAGAGTATTAAATGAAAATGACCGCGAAATACAGCAAGATAAGTGCTTTTAATTGACATTGGGATGGGTGCTAAAGGCGCTTTTTTGCTGTATGCTTAAATTCTTGAGCTAGATTCAAATGTTTTATATTATTGGTTCCCAAAAAAATTGCAACAGCAAAGATACGTTGTTCACTTATGACGTTCAGGGGGGGGGGGGGGGGGGGGTCAGCAAGAAAAGAACAATAGAAAATCCTGGAAATCCATTGTTCTTTTTTTAAAAAAGACTGTTAATTTCGGACGTCATAAGTAAACGACCCCTATGTTGTTCGGTAGTTCGGTAGATTGAAAGTTTATATTGCTATTCTGCTAAGCTATTAAACAGCTCCAGAAAGCGTAGTGCTGAGAACATGCTATAGCAAATCTAAAACCATTGGTTCGAATCTCACCAGGACGAATTTTGGAAACCTAGCTTGTAAGAAGCGTATAAACCACAATGTTGTCTCTCGAGCATCCCATTTCAAGGAACAGCATGCAACAAGACAATCATAAATTCCTAAGACATTCTTTACAAAGAAAACTAATCTCTTTGACTGAAATATAAGAATTTATTCATTTATTTCTTTAATTCAGTCTTCATATTTCACATACACAGCCCATCAGGGGCGTAGCCAGAAAATTTTTAAGGGGGGGCCCATTTTCGAAAATTAAAAAACCGTTATTTTGTATCCTTAAATCTATATTCATTCTTCATAAGTTTAAATATTTAATTCATTTTTCATACATTAAATTTAATTTTTCGTGGTGATTTTGAAATTTCTTTCATTACTTCCTCTACATTAACTGGTTCTTCTTCTCTAAATACTTAATAAAACAATTATCAGATTTTCGGAGGGGGGGCCCGGGCCCCCTATGGCCCCCCCCTGGCTACGCCCCTGCATCCCATTCTTGTTCAGAACAAGATAAAATGTTCAAAGGAAAAAGTTTTGATGCCTTAAAGGTTTTCTCAGATAAAAAACAAAAAATTGCTCTGAGCTAAATGTATGGAAATTTCACTTCATCATCTGATTGAGATTTTAAGAGCGTCAGTTTTTCACACGTTTTGGAGTCTTCAGACTTTACAAAACTTCAGACGGAATCCCCGAAAATCGCCTTAAAAAACTTTCTTATTTAAACAATCTGCAGACCAACTTTTCAAAAAAAAGAAGCTTATTTCAGTATTTTTCTTGTTAATTTAATCACATTACGGGACCCAGACAATAAACTTCCTCAGCAATTTGCCAAAATGCATATCCACACTTTTTGTGTTTTCAAGTCTGACATAAAATTTATCGCGTCAGGCAGCATGCCAATCAGTAAAAATGAACCAACAATAGTACTTAATATGAGAAAAAAAATAGAGATGCACTCATGAAGATCTCACACGAGATTCTTTGTAGATATCAAGTGATCACTTTGAGGAAAGAAGCAAGCTCAGGGACGTCAGCAGATAATTTTTGATTGAGTTTTGAATTTTTTCAAGAAGACACTGAGGATATTTGCCAATTAATTTGATGATGAAGGGGTTCAATTTACAATACTTTCACTTAGACACACCTCTGGACAAGCTGAATATAAACACAAATTCACACACAGAAAAAAATAAGTCGAGAAGTAAAAATTACGAATATAAATTCATGACTAAATTGAAAAATCTTGAGAATAATTGTATATATCTGCTTTCCTGAATGAATATATTGTGTAATAATAGTCCGGTGCTAAATATGGATCACAATAGACTTTTACTGCGATGCGAAAACAGCCCGTAAATTATTGATGTAAATACAATTTTTTTCAGATTTACTTTTTTTTTCATCATTTCTGTATTGTGCTCACATGTTTGCATTTCTCTCGACTTGTTTATTCCTCTCGTTGCTATTCTCTCATCGATTATTTTTCTTATTTTCATCTCTTTTCAAAAATTCAGTCATGTTTAAATGGCAATCGCAATAAAAAAAAAATCATCTGATAAAAATGCTGCAGCATTTTTAATTATTTAAATACGAAACAAGTTCGAGGAACTTGAATGACATGGCGTGGGAGGGCTACTAAGTTTACTGAAGACTTAACAGCACTTCCCCCCTCCTCCCTTAGCTCTTTGTCTCAAAAATAATTTGTTTAAGTGTGTCAACTAGCATCAAAGACCTTCCCACGTTTTGATTCAGTTCAATCAAGAACAATAAAAAAACGAACAAGTTTCTTAATTTCATATCTGGATGTAAACTGGTATCTGAGGTCAAGAAGCAATTAATTTTTTGGCATATAAAATTTCTTATAGTCATTTGATATCATGCAGCACTAATTTAGATGAAGATAATTTTGTATCGACCTTTCACCTTTCAAGAATATCTTTGAATTAAGTTTAATGCTCAGGTTTCTTAAAAAGTCGATGCTCCTGCAAGATTCCAACTTAGTCATCCCTTATTGTATTGATTTTATATCAAGTAAATCTCATTAAAGTCTTATTGCTTTATTTTAAATTAGTTTTGTTGCAAACTCAATCGAAAATTCCCTAAAGTATTTTGAGAACTGCTGAAACTGTTTCGCAAGCAAAAAAAATTGTGCCAATGATTCGAAAAAGTATCGAATTTAAGCTGCAATAAAATTGCAATTTGCGAGGCACCAATTTTTCTGACATTTATTGACCACCTTACATCCACTGTTGGTTTGGGGAACACCCGATATTAATTTTATTTATTTGACACTAAAAGAATTAATAAATTCAGACACACAATAAATAATCAGACAAACAAGTGACGAAAGAGATTCGAGTCAAAGCAAATAAACAAGACAGGTTTTGATGGCTCAATTAATAAGTTTAATGAACTTTGAGAATATTTTTCGGAGAATTCTAAAAATAACAAAGAGACTCATTCACAGCCATAATAACACAAACAGACTAATCCCTGAAAACTCTAAATATTTACATACAGTATGTACAGATAACAGTAAGTAAATTCATGTCGGTAAATCCACTTAGAGAATTTACATAATTTTGGAGTAGAAAATTTATTCTTCCTTCATAGACAAAATT